ATGCATATATATTCGGTAAAACAACGGAACACCCACAGGGGCAGCAAACATACGCAGGTGACCAGCGTGCGTACCGCAACATGGAAAAGGCCTACTCCACTAAACGATAATTGAGCATACCAGTGACCACGGCTCAACGGAACAGTTAGACAAGGTCACAATTTTATTGGTTCATCGATTTGTCCGAATCGATCGATTGATTCGTATTCGTGCTTGTCTCCCATTCCGATCCTTAATTACCTCTGCCATCTCCATTTTTTCGGGTTCTCTCTTTTATGTTTGGGGTTGGGGAAGGGGCGCTCTTGTGATCAATAACACGGAACCATGTTCATGTCATTTTCTAGGTTTTACTCTAAGGCCACCAGTTTCTGCTTACTTCCACTCATCTGTCGACCTGTGGTAACATTTAACGATCGAGCATTTGCCTTCGGTTTGCCACAGAGCGAACACGATATCTAGCTATACGGAAATGTTCTGTAGGAAAAAAGTATTTCGTTGAGTGGGACATATCTTGTCTTCCGTTCGAACATATTCAACATACGCACTAGTCGCGCTTTGAGATCTCTTTTCTAAATTGACTCGTATTTAAATTTCTGCATTGATGTCTTTATTTACTGCGTTCCTAGTGAATAAACTTCACCAAATCCCGAATGCACTCGTGTTATTCAACTGAACAATTAAACTTGTCTGTAAAATTTACTGTGTTAAATGCTCCTTTTTTCTCTACTATCTTTTGGTCCTTCGGGGTTGATCAGAACCGGTGAACCAATTGGCGGAACGTGTTTTACTGGGCGTACGAAGCAAATTAGAAGGTCGTGTGACTGGAAATCTGGCTGCCTCTTCCGATGGCAATCCTGCTCGATGTGGTGGTTTAGACCAGCTGGATGTGGCTGGTCACGTGGCTCTACTGGTTCGTGCTGCCACCGATCCGGCCAACTTATCACGCATGTATTTCGGTTGGCAGGCCTATCTCTGATCGCTCGGTCTCCTGCTTTCTTTCTGCCTTTTTGCCAGATTTCGCAGTGTAATTTTTTATTCATACTTTATGTATTTAAAAATATATATGTATGCTCGATTTTTATCACTCGACTCACCAGTGATATCGCTCGCATCAGGCGTCTAATTGCAGGTTCGAAGCAATCGCTTAGCGATTTTCAAGGTCTTGGAAACCTAACTTGGTACTGTTTAGTTATCTAAGCGGTATATGTAAGTTCGCTCATCTTAAGGGTACATGCTCAAAAACATTTTTCATATGACCGCACAGTCTATCAGTGGGAACACCCATCAAACTCCGGTATCTAGTTCGGTTGCATAGCTCCCATGGCCAACAGCAGTTTATTTGCTATGTGCTACGGTGTAATTGTTGAGTGTGAAGGCTGTGATCACCATCTTCATATGCCAGAGATTTCTGTTCGGCCGTATCTTACGAGGGGATAGGTCAGTCTCGTATCAAAATTTGTAGGGTCTCGTGGATTTACCGTGAATATCCACAGCACTGTGCGTATGTTATCTGAGATAGGACTCATTCGGTTGCGGAATTCCAAACCTTCATCCTCATCCGTATTTTGGGTCTGAAGTTGCCTGTTGATAACCGCTCGACAATAAATTTTTATCCGTAAGTTTTCAGTGACCTTATTGTGTTTCTAGTTCACCTTTTTCCAAGAGGAAAGAGAAAAACAGTCAAGTCCCTTCTTCTATTCCCACTTGTTCTTTAACCCATGCCATTTAAGCTAAATGTTGGTAGGATAATCAGGCAGCCGTTGCGATGCTGAATTGTGAAAATCCGCTTGACCAAATAAAACCATCAACCTAATGATCTCTAATATAACTAATCCGTACTTTTTGAACCCAGTAAACGGATAGGAAGGTGGATATTTTAAATCACGTACAAGGTATCGTCCAACTCCATCAAAGCGACTAGGCTGCACCATCTCGCAAAAACGGGAGCACTGTCTTAAAAAATGCAAGAAGACCGATAAATGGTACTTTTACTCGCTATGATTGTTTGATATAGCACATTACGAATCGCAGCTGACGAACAAACAACGATACGGAAAGGCGACTTCCAGATTGAGCATGGAATTTCTCCGGGTCAGCGGATTCAGTAGTGTGGAACCCGATAGGGTTTCGATACTTGGTCTACCGTCACAGTACTTTGACTCAAAAACGGTTAATCATGTGATTTAGATGAATGAACGTCAACAGAAGAGCGACAAACATGAATTTAACAAAGGTATTAAATCCCTCACTTTGCTCTCCAAATAATTTGTCATGATACTGCAGCCACCAATTTCTCGTTTGGACACAGAACTCTAACTCGAGCGTAGCTTCTTCTTGCAAACCGAATGTGCGTGGTTTCATCCACCCGTCAACACCTCCGATCATGTATTACATCCGAGTCTACCGGTTAGTACAACAATTCGGTTCATGTCTCAATTCAGGTCGAGATGTGAACACCTGATACACATGTAGATATCAAAGCATTTACCGATCAATAAGTGGTAGGATCGGAAGTAATGACGGTTCAATCAATATGCATTTGTTAATTTTTAAAAATATTTACTTCCTTTTATTGAATACACAATGATACAATTTTCAGGAAGGGGGAAGCGGCCAATCAAAGGACTGCCATACAACACAAATGGGGAAAGTCAGGCAGTGGTGGTGGGATTTGAACATTCGTCCCCCAAAGTGATAATTTGGTGACGTTACCACCGGGCCACCACCGCCCAAAGGCACACGTCTCGGGCAGGATTCGAACCTGCGCGGGGGAACCCCATTTGATTTCGAGTCGAACGCCTTGACCACTCGGCCACTACGGCTTACTATTTACAGTCATTGGCCTTTCACTTTCGTGTCCTCGTTTCGATCGATGTTTGTTGACCGACAGTTCTAAATCATGATGTCAATAAGGTACAAAAGCATTTACTTAAGAGTGAATAAATAAGAAAACTTAAATTAAACGAGCGCCATCCAGTCTCTTCTAACATTGAGTTAACGGGTCCAGAGTACCCCAAGCAGGACATGCGATAAGTTCAACAACTAGTGGTGTTGTACCTCTGCACCGAATTACGAGTTGATTCCATCAGGGAATCATTGGTCTGATCATCCCCAATTAGGAAAAACACGAATCACTGAATTAGAACGATCTTGTACTTGTGCGGAATCCCTTTTAAAAGGTGAACGCAAAACAGGTATCGATCAATGAAACATTGAATTGGTCGATAGTCATGAGGGTAGTAGAGAGACTGAACAGTCACGTGCTTCCCGATGTGAATGGATTTTTGTCAGTTACACAGTTTTATGTGGACTGATTTTGAATCTCACTAAAGGGACACCTTGGTCACTTTTTCAATCAATATTTTTCTCGGGAAATATTGGATCACTGTGAACGCTCTCTATAAAACCATGCCGATGAACCACGTGTGTCAATGCATTAGTTTGCGTTTGATTTCAACACCAGTCGTCCGACCTACCACTCCACAGCAATCTGAGGATGTGATAATGTCCAAACATGTGTCATTTTTCATTTATCTTCCATGCGTTTCACGACCAGATTGTCACAGCATACACTCAATTATTTACGATCACCAGCAGGATATCGTGGAGCACTCAAGACGTCTCAAACGTAAAACGAGTGCCAAGGTCAAATAAACATATTGTCTCAAAACTGTCTCACAAATGAGAGTTGTTTAAATAAATTACATTATTTGTCCATCGTTTCTGTTTTCCGGCGGGACAGTATGATAACTGCAGTACGATTCCCCTGATTCTGTCACAGATTCGTTTAATTGGAGTGAACAAAGTGCATACAGAAAAGCAAGCCGTTTACCACCCCGGAAAGATCTAATACTACTGTTTCTGACTGAATAGGAATGGAGAAAGTTCTACAAATATGTCAACCAGAACATTGAAAAGAAAAAAGACTATTCAGCCGAATACCTGATTTCTTGATGAATACAGATGGCTTCAATTAGTCTGACTGCGGGAACATGTTTAAGAAATCGATTCCCCTATAATATCTTTATTTGTACTATTTCTATCTTTCATTTGTATTCGAGGTCAGCTTGTCTAGTTGCGATAATTGTGGGGTAAACTTTTTCTAAGATAACTGCTTATAATCTCAAAATAATGGACACTATGTTCGATGATTGCTTCAAACTAAACAGTGCGCAATGACGACAGGACAGGACTTCTTCATGTATGTTGTTGCTCATGAGTGAATTTCTCTGAGACAAGCTTTCATTACGTCATCTACCGTTGGTCTCGAGATCTCACCTGAAATATTTATACAGGGAAAGTATAATTCTGCATTTCTTAGTCTCCGTTTAGACTTTATCTCGTCTGGGTTGTCCAAATATAATTTACTTTGCGGAATTTAATTTTTAATAGTGCTGAATACCGTATACCAAAGTTTCTTTTGCTTATTCATGGCATTGGTAACACGCTGAAACATTTCGCCGTAAAAAATGATTTTTCAATCACCCAACATTTTGCTACTCAAATAGCTCAAGTAGCATATCCAGTAATTCGATTTTGTTCACCCAATCATAGCTTACGATTGGTATCAAGATCTCTGTCTAAGCGTTAGTCTGAGCAACTTGGTGATAGTATGACTTAATCCCAGAGGTTGGAGTCGCAGCCGTCACCAACTCAATGGGGGATACAAATTGCCGATCCACGGGAATAGTATAATGGGACTATTTGTTCGACTGCTCTCATTCGTGTCCGCACGCACTTCGCATCTTTTGACAAGATGACTGAGTAGTCCTCCTCGATTTGCACAAATTATAATCTGTTAACCTGACATGAAATCATTTGATTACCCGTATGGAGCGTTTATGGGATTTCTGTTGTTCAACCGTGTGATAATAGCATCCAAGCTGCCCACATAGATCTTGAAGCGGTCTCTGATGTATCGATTCTCACCCATCCTGCAATGTTTCATCTGACCAACCTTATCGGTCCTGTGTGTATAGCTGGTCATTCACCACATTTCTTGTTACGGGCAACTCTCGATTCAACCAATTTAACACTCTGGAGTAGCACCATACTTAAATTGTTATTTGTTAAAGTTTATCCACCGCTTGAAGTTACTTCCGGGCAATCTTGGTAGTTCCAGTCAGGACCCATATGAACTGATTGGAACAATGGTATGAAGGGCATCTTTAATGTGATGCGCGTACATTGTTGATATCTAATGGCAGTGGAACCTCAACCTAATACTTCTTGAATATATGCCTGAATTGTTTAATTGAATATTGCATGTGGAGATATCATCTCGATAATGGTCCCAAAGAAACCAAGATTTATTCATCTATCTTGGTATACTCTCAGTAAACCAAAGCGGTGTCCACTATCAGCCTAATTTCATTCGTCTTCATTGAACCCACGTGTCTGTTGCATCTCTTCATTCCTTTAAAATGCTCTCAGTCTGTCTTCGCTTGATGGATAAAATTCCACTAGCCCGCAGTTCTGTCGTATCAGCAAACACCAGAAGAGTATTGAGACGAGAAACGCGTGTTCTGAAGTGACTGGAGGAATGTTTGTTTTTCCGTTGGTTGATCGTGACTCACAGACAAGTTGTTAGCTCATACATGTCTTGGTCGACACCGTGATAATGCACGGTTTACGATCATTTATTCTAGGAAACTCCAGCTCGTAATCGCTAATCTGTCCCGACAAATTTACATGTCCCCCCTCCACCTGCCTCGAACGTTTGCACTGTTTTGGGGGATCACTTTATCCATATCACAAAATATTCATTTTTTTAAAAATCCCCGTTTATCCGAATCCGTATTTGGCATAGGATCAATTCGGTAACTCGGTTGAGAAAATCAAGTCAGTAAACCGTCGGTGCAAGATGCGGACAGCGTTGAAACCCATGGACACCAGTTTTTCGCACTGGAACGGATTTAGTATACTTGCGTTTAGGCTCTAAAGCGCCTTGTGTACAGGCGATGAAGGAAAGGAAAGAAGAGGTTTGAGACCCACGCTGCTATTGCGTTTGCCAGCATTCTTGGAAAAGTCTCTCAAATCGTAAACGAGAAATCATTCATTCATTCAAACCGGCAAATTTGATCTATTCGTTCCAGTTCACAGCCAATAGTCTAATCACTAGGATACGCCTGACCATCGATAAGACACTGACATGCATTCACATTTGTCTATCTTTCCTGGAAGTTGTTCAAAGGCTGTAATTTAGCTGTCCCTCGGACACCAAAATAATAATATTGTAAAATCATTATTCCAGTGTAGACTCCGGATTGCACCCGCGATCCTCTGCAGGTTAGCGATCTGAATGAACTTCTCTATCAGGAATCGGCTGGGAAAAATCACTTAGAGCAGGCATATCTAAGTCCGACTGATAACAGTCGGTCTGGAAACAGATTTGATCAGAGACGTGGCGCACCGTAATTTACCTAGTTCTATAAGATCTACCTAACTACTTACTGTCAGCTCTTGAGAACAACCAATAAACGTATGAGAGTTGCTCAAGGTTCGTCAAGTTTTCAATTCAACTCCTGTGAACAAGATCAGAACTAGAAAATGCATAATACCCTAAACAACACTCAGTATTCTCTCCAAACTCCCCACCTCCTTGGTGCAAGGGCTCTATTCTGGGTTGCTGATAATATTTCACAACGATGTAGTATTCAATGATGATCAGAACACTCACTATTTACAACATTATAGCTCCTACATTACTCCCAAATCTCATGGGACAATAAAACGTGTAGAAAAGTCAAATTGACTAATTGACATAATTCACAATATTCCCCTTCAAAAAAGGGCCGTGAAAAAAATGATCGGTAGCTGGAGAAGGAAGGAACAGAATGGGAGTGATGCTTGATGTTTCATTCTCCAAAAAAGATAAATGGTTGAGAACGAGAAGATATTTCCGAGGGCGAGAGTGACAACCACATACTGCGTCACATGCACTCTCTCTCTCCTACTCCCAGTTTCGCACGGAAGCCATGGAACTGCATGGGAACTAATACAAGTAGACAGGAAATGCTGTTCATAAACGAAAGAATTCCGGGGTTATTGGAAGACATAGACAAGCAATGGCGAGAACATGTGGGATCAAAGTTGTCCGTACGGACCACATAGACGGGCGAAAATGTCTGAGAATGGACAGGTGAGTTCGTACCGACTGAGATTGAATGGGTAAGAGGATAGATGATTAAAATTCGCCTCGGTCAGACGTTAGAGAAAGAAATATGTAGAATATGTACAATAAATCAACAGAGAAAAAAAATAAATAAATAGAGGTAAGCAAACACTGGATGTATGCACACAATTCATCAGGTGTAGACAGAAAAAATTCATTTTTCACATTTAGCTACTGAAACATTTTGGAAGTAGTAGCAAATTCGTTTGTGGGCGGACAGGTGGGTGGGTAAGTGGACAAGGTAGTGACATTCGTCAGGTCTAAAGTATCATCTTTGTGTGCTGTACAACCTTTGTGAAAATGGTGTTGGATTGAAGTCTAAAATGCGAGAGAAATTTGGGGTAGGTTTCATGCACATGGTCGGGTAATGCCTGGGGTTTGATACAGATATGAGGGTGGAGTCTTTGTTTTCAAAAGTATCAGGCTGTGGCTGCGAGGAAACATGCATAGATTAGGTTATTCAGCGTCATCTGACAGCTGAATAGTGCGAGATGAACTATTGGTTCCAGGGTATAAGCGATGGAGGCCTGAGTAAGGATCTGTTCAGAGGCTTACATGCGTTCGGCCTGTATATTGGATCTGTATGAGATTGTCTGATTTTATTCACGTTTTCAACTAGCTTGCGTGTACTGTGACTCCGCGGGTTCGAAGACTTTTGGAATTTTTCAAAGACACTGTTTGCTCATCACACTCTGTCCTGCTTGTTTCGGAATCACTTGTTTTTGTCTCAAGCAGATCCTCCACAGCAACTTCGGTTGTGGGCGAATTCTCAGATGAGAATCCATTCACAGGAGGTGTTCTACTCGATTTCAGCGGGACTTCTAATGTTGGCGGGGAGGCGACCGGGGATTCAGAGTTAGAACTTGCCGACTGTAACCCTCTCGTAAACTTCAATCCAACCGGTGTAACCTCATCGGAGGGTACATCCGACTTGCTTGTGACGCATTCCACTTCATTAGTGGCGGAAATATCGTCCATCGGTGCTGCCACGGAAGTCTCTTTATTCGTAGAGGATACACTTGGAGCCGATGTTTCACTGACCACCATCAGCGGTAGTTCTTCATCTTCTGTGCTGACTGAGAGCAAGGTGACTGCATCACCAACACAAGAACTTGCACGCTGTGGCGTTTGATTTTCGGTCGCTGCACTACCCTCGTCTACATCGGTTGTTTCTAGAGCTGTTTCGGGTTCATCATCGTCCACCTCTATTGAACTACCACTCATTCTGGCGGCCACAGAAGTCAACGCTTGTGAGGCGATCAAGAAAGCAGGTTGCAATGCTGCCGATCGTTCATTTGAGTCCAAACCGGAGCTGGAGCTGGCGGCGGCGGCCATAGCTGCAGCGACAATTGCCTTTGCTGCGGTGGGATCCGGTGACGAGTCTGGAGCCAATGGTGGGGTAGGTTTGGGAAATCCACTCGAGCTAGAACGAGCGCGTTTGTTAGCGAACCACTTTTTAACCTGAAAGAAACAAAAGAAGCAGAATTACTCGGTATCTCATAAACAGAAAACTTTTTTGTTCACCAGGGACGACTCGGTTCAATCTGAACATTCCGAATATTCTATCAACTTTAGGCAAGAGTACTAAACATTTAGTGTGGCTGAGTAAGCATAAACCTATACAGTTGAACTCAACTTTGCACGTCCACGAAGCACTAAAAATGAGCTTATTTTCTTCTTAGCCTTATAATTAATAGGCATCAGTTCAATACATGTATTTCTATTTCCAAAGGGGTCATCCAGAACACTCAAAAAATCCGTACAGAAGTAGTGTCCGCTGCAATAAAACAAATATAGCAAGACACAATAATGGTTCAGTGGGTGACAATTGAAGTTTTAAACAAACCTTAAACTATAACGCACGAATTGCTCTTAGTACAACCTCATTTTGCTATTACTTCTCGCGAACACGCACACGTGGGGTGTGGAAACTTGGTGCTCCTATGTATTGCCTCATTATTCTTTGGGGCTGGTATAAGGACTTTAATCTTGATCTGGTAAAGTCAGTTTTGACCCAAATGATGTGCTTGAAAGATGCTAACTGCTTCTAGTTCACCCCTTGATACAAACAAGGTTCACGAAATAGTTCAATGAGTATGTGTGTGTGTGGTGGGATGAGTTACACATATAGTCAGTCTGATATATCGTTGAACAAATTTATGGAGTGGCTCATGAAGGAAGCTCGAACAGTCCCGTGAAGCAAACTGCCGATATGAACCTGTCATTCAAGAGGGTAGCAGCATTTCACGCGGTAGTAGGTGGTTTCAATTGAAAAAGGGGAAAATACTGCCTTGAACGGACTCATGAGCATAACTACCAAGGGATTGCAGTGACATCTCAAATTTTTCCGCAAATTTTCCACCGGTCCTAGTTATTTTGCATCTGAGAAGAAATGGAATATGTAGAAAACTTGCTCAGAAAATCAAAATGCAACTTCCACCAGCTGAACCTAACCAAACAACACGTGCCGAAGTTCATGCATTTGAATATTATTGTTCGCCACGTACAGCAAGTGGTACAAGCAGTACCGTACCTACAAAAAAGATGGGTAAGAACAGTGCTCTGTATGTTCGACGACTTGGACTAGTACATGTTTCCGGTATGAGATGCGGAAAGGCAAGCTTGATTTCAGGTGTCGAGTCCTCGGCGGTCGTTCTCTGATGGTTTGGGGTACCATTTTCACCGAAGGCAAATC